TATAGGGTTTAGGGGTTCTAGGGCTTTAGGGTTTGGGGGTTTAGGGGTTCTAGGGTTTAGGGGTTTTAGGGGTTTAGGGGTTGAGGGGTTTTAGGGGTTTAGGGTTTTAGGGTGTTAGGGTGTTAGGGCTTTAGGGTTTCAGGGTTTAGGGTATAAGCCTTGAAGCCTACTAGTCTTGTATTTCAAGCTAGAGCTCAAGTCAAGACTCTGCCTATTTCTGCCTGCTCTTTGTCGAGATTTTTGGACCAATTGAAGCCGTGTCCTACGTGTTTGTCAGTTCGGGGGTGTAGTTCATTTTGAAGATGTTAGATGTCGGGCTTAAGAGGGAGCAATCTGACTGGACTTTTTGGGGAAAGCCTCCCGCGTATGCAGGGTTTTGGTCTTTCTGCTCTACAAGCTCAAGCCCTAAACCCTAAGTCCCGAGTTCAAGACTGACGCCCCTCATCAGCGGTTGCATGCAGAGTCAGGTGCTCGTCGTGATTCACGAGGACGCTAGAACACTGGACTGAAAGGGTTTAGGGTTTAGGGTTGAACCCTAATTTGAAAGGCTGAAGCTGGAGATCGAAAAGCTGGAGCATCGAAATCCCGCGAGCCTCTCAATGCCCGAACTTTGAAGCTCCTTCGCAGGCGGACTCGAGGAAAGTGGTCGTACCACTGGTACGAGCGGCGTGCTTTTTTTGGAGCTGAGGGCTGTTTCCTGGAGATGTGAAAACTGACGACCCTCAACAGAGCGCTTAATGTGAACGCCTCTATCCTACAATCCTGGCCTCATTTCCCGTCCCGATTCCCCGTAAAGCCCTCGTCTTGGCTCTCCTGTCGCGACTACTTCAACGAACCAGGGGATCTAGAATCCCTAGAAGGGACCCCTAATCCTGATACCCTATATAACCCTTATATACCCCTTTATATGGGTGGTTGTCAAAATTATGGTCCCTTTTTGGGTCTTTATTATAATACGGCACCTATTATGTAGGGTAAAGGGACGATAATTTTGACAACTACCCATATAGTCCCATAAAGCCCCTATATAACCCGGGTGATCGAAGCTCATCGAAGTCGTGGTCGGGTGCATGGGCCTTGCGAGTTCAAAGGCCCCAAAAACCCCCCAGCTCCCGGAATCCTGTGGCTTCAGGGTTTAGGGTTTAGGGTTTTTAATTTCCATCCAAAACCCCAAGACCGTGTTCTAATTATGAATGCCCCTATATACATTAAACCCTAAACCCTAAACCCTAAACCCAAGACCCTAAACCCCACAAGCCCTCAGGGCCATGAGCATGAAATTTCTGGCCTCGGCCATTGCCAGGTCCCAGATGAAGATGACATCGAGGAAGAGGAGGGGACTGGGGTTTGAGGGTTTTTTTTTAATGTAGAAGCCTTAGTAATTAGAATAGGGCTTGAGGGTATATTCATTTTATTTTATAGTTATCATGAGGAGCCACCCAAAATAGTAGAGGAAATTGTTTAGAAAATTCCCAAAACAATTCCTGGCCCATTATTTAGGCCTCTATATTATTTGAGAATTCGAGCTTCGAGATTTCTGGTTCCGGGCTTGTGCCTCAAAGCCGTAAGCTTGGGGGTCTCTTTCGGATTGGTGTTGAGTGTTGAGAGTTAGGGAAAATTCTGAGTCTTATCGGTCTTAGGGTTTAGGGTTTAGGGTGAGTCTTATCGGTCTTAGGGTCCAGGGCTTCAGTAGGTCTTTGAGCTCTGACTTCAATCTGCAAGCCGAGAGACAGGTTCTCCAAATCAGGGTCCCTTGTCCGGCTCCTCACGATCAGCGTGGCATGCTTCCAAGCCCCCAAAATGGGATCCACTTCGGAGAACTACCCGCATGCTCCAACCATGAGCGGACCTTCTATGTTCTATGGTTTAGGGATTAAGGGGTTTGGGGTTTAGGGTTTAGGGCTAGTATCTCAAACCCAAAGCCTTAGCCTTGGTTCTTCAACCTAAGGCCTTCATGAGCGAAGCATCTTTCAGGACATTCCGGAGGGTGGAGATTTCAGCGAAGACAACCTCGAGGCGGCACCGCAGCAAGAGAGAAACAGTGAGATGACAGAGGGAGAAAGAGACAACGAACAGGACGCCGCCAGAAGCCTGCAACATTGGCAGAAGTAGCAGTGCTAGCAGCAGCAGCCGCAGAAGTAGTGGCAGTTGCAGTAGTAGTAGTAGTAGTAGTAGTAGTAGTAGTAGTAGCGGCTGTGGTCGTGGTCGGGGTCGGGTCGGGGTCGTCGTCCCTGGCCGTCGCCGTGGTCGTGAACCAAGGCACGTATAGGCAACACACTACGGCATGGGCTTGCAACCATGATGATCGGGGGTATGGCACCACATCTGTGCGGCTTTGGCGGTGTGGCCTATGTTCAGGCTTAGGCTGCTACTTAGCAGCCACCTTTTGCTGCATGCAGCAATGTAGCACCGCAGCATGTAACGAGGTAAAACCTGCGACCGACCGCCCATCAGACTGCCTGGCTACAGAATTCTTCGCAACCCCTGCACTCTTCCGACTTGATTAGCCGTGCTCACTGCCCAGTGCCTGTGACGTCGAGGCATAGCCCTGGAAGGGCCTCGACCCCAAGTGCCACATGGGGGCTTCCGAAAATAGGGGACCCTAATATAGTACCCCAATTAATAGGATCCCTATTATAAGGACCCCAAAATAAGGTACCCTAATTTTCTGAAACTCCCACATGCCCGAAACACAAGCGATCCAAGATTGGCCAGGGCTCCAGCTCAATGTACGACCCGGAGGCTTTGGGAATGGCCGGTTCAAGGGTTTGGATTCTTTTTTGCTGAAGGTTCAGGGTACTTAGGGTCATTGTTATTGCCAGGTTTTCGGAGATTTGTTGTTGTTTGGTTTCGGGGTTTTGAGTGTAGTGTCCCGGGATTCTTGCGTGGCATCCGGCTTCCATCGTGGAGCTCATATTCAGAAGGTTGCCTCTGTTTGCAGTTTAGTGCTTTCGGGTTTTCAGAGTCTAGAGTCTACTGTATGATGGTGCGGTCGCAGAGCAAGCAACAACAAGAACCATAGAGATCGTAGTTGTGGGAGTAGCAGTGGCTACCAACAGCCACACTAAGAGTCCTGACCCTTTGTCTGGCTCTTTGTGTATAGGGTTTCCTTCGCCAAACCCGAATTTTTAAACCCTAAGCCGCCTAAGCCCAAGTTGTACTGAGGGCGGCAAGGTCGTTACTTGGTCCGTGCCCAGCCCTCAGCCACGCTAAATGTGACAGCGAACGGAGGACCACGACACCATACCTTAACCTACCAAAACCAACTTTTTTGTAGGGTCACTATAAATTCCATATTAGGGTGTATAATAATAACCTACAAAAAAAGTAGGGTTTGGTAGTTTAAGGTAGTTTGAAGGATCATGGGCTCAGATAGCCTCCGACCCTTCTCACAGCTCTGCATCATCCTCAGGCCCTTTTATAAAGCCCTCCACCAAAATCCTAAAGAAGCCATTTTGAGTAGGGTAGAGCATAGGGTTTTAGTTGCCAGCCCCAACGCCCAACGCCCCAACATACACTCGCGAGTATTCCGGACCTTAAAGTACACCCGCCACTTGCATCGGCCAACTGAAGCTTCGTTATTGGGGTACGGAGTCTGTTTTTGGGGCTACGGCGGAGTTTTTATGGGAAGATGTCACACGCCGCAAGAAGTTGATCTTCTGATCCAATGTTTCCCGCAAGGCCCAAGTCCTGCCCTAACCTGGGGTGGTTCTGTTTGAGTTCTGGGGGGGAGGGTCTCTGAAGTACATGTAAACCCTAAACCCTAAACCCGATAAGTACCTTAGACCGAGACAGGTTCGCCGAAGAGAGATGGAGAAGGAGGAGCAACAGCGAGAAGAGGAGGCCAATCACCCAAAAAAAGGGTCCAAGCAATAGTATAGTATAGTATAGTATAGTATAGTATAGTATAGTATAGTATAGTATAGTATAGTATAGTATAGTATAGTATATACTTTCGGGGCCCAAATACCTACTAAGTGCGACTATAATGGTACTTGGACCCTTTGGCTCACCGAGTTGATGCGCACGTGTTCTTGGAGACATCTTTAGCTCCCTTTGACTGCGTAGGCCCGCTCCTGCACGACATTAGGAAACAGCCGCTGTGGAACACTACGTTGCCCCGCACTAGTTTGGGTTGAAGTTTAGCTTTGGGCCCTCTAAGCACCGAGAAGGCTTCACAAGCAAGTCTGAAAGTGAGTGGGACCTTGGCTGAGTGCCCCTGCAACCTTAACTCTAAACCCTAAGCCCTAAACCCCTAAACCCTAAACCCTAAACCCTAAACCCTAAACCCTAAACCCTAAACCCTAAACCTCTCCGTGTCGCGCCCATAGGAGCGTCTGCGCAGAGAACAGGAGGAAGCCGAACAGGCCTCGGATTCAGGGCCTCCGGGGGTTCAGAGCTCATCCTTAAGAACCCAAAACCTACTTTTTTGTAGGGTCCCTATAAATCCCATATTAGGGTTTATAATAAGAACCTACAAAAAAGTGGGTTTGGGGGTTCTTAAGGATTACTCAAAGTGGCCGACAGTAATCGCAAGCGCGAGGCCGCGGCAACGATTTGAAGAGGAACGGTTGTCGTTGGAATCACATACAAAGATAACACTACCCGCAGCGTCTGTGGGCAATAGACCAAGGCGGAAGAGGAGAAGGAGGAGAATGGACAGTAGCCGTGGCAAGTAGCGGCTGTGGAGTAGTAGCAGCAAGAGAAAGAGCGGCAGTAATATCACATCAGGTACCCTTCAAAAATGCCATAGCACACTGTAGCCCCGGCTGTTATAGTCAGCATCGCAGTCGGTAGTTTTGTCTCACTTCCGCTTTGAGAGCTGGGGGCTCTAAGAGACTTCCTGTGTGAGAACTACGATATGGGCTTTCGTTGTGGCGTGAGTTCCGAAGAGTCCATAGGGTTGGGGGTTCATTGACAGTCAAAGGACCCGAGGCTTTGGACCGTCAACCGAGTTCTACCGACTGCAGACCCCAAATTCCGCAGCATATTCAGGGTATCATGTGTATCAGGGCTTGCGAGGAACATGCCCCCACTTTTTTGGGTCCTGGCTTGCATGCATGATTCTCCTTGCCAAACGGCAGGATATGCCTCCCCCACGGTCATCGATGAACGTTTTACCAAGTATAGTAGTACATGCCCTCTGCGCCAAGTACTCCAATCCCGAGCCCAAGCCTGACCCTCGGCTTGCCTCGACATTGAGCCAGGGCCCTAAAAACCCAAGTCCTTTTGAGCCCAAGGGGCGAAGTACCTTACATTCCGTCTTCGACAACGTGCCTCGCGTCTGTAGAAAATCATCTGCTCGACGACCCCCCCCCTCCCTGAACCCTCCGGCAAACTCTTCAAACCCGAAGCCCTAAATTTCCAGGCACGCAGGCAAAAGGAGATAGACGAAGCAAACCGCCGGCTGGCCGCAGAAAGAAAGCGCAAGCTGGAGGAGAGCTGAGGGTTTTGGCATCAGAGGTTTTGTGATTTTGGTTGAGTTCGTAGTTTTTTTTATTTTATTTTGGTTGAGTTCGTTGGTGAAGGCTTCGAGATTCTGGATTTCAGTCTGCTTCTGTGAGCTCGATGTTTGCATACAGAGAGTTGAGCTGTGCTTCTGCGAGGACTCTTACGACGATTTGTCCGCAGTATTTTGTGCCTCCTTCGTAACTAGGTTTTCTTCATTTGCTGGCGCTCAATGTCGGCTTGCAGGGTCGACAGTCGCTAAGCTTCAGCTCCAACTTTGGCTGATGGAAAATGCTTTCGGGATTGCGGGGTTCAAGAGGGTTTAGGATTTAGGGTTTGGAGCCCTGGGGAGGTCAAGTTGAGATGAGAGTGTCGTTTTCCCTCCCGAAACCCCCAAGCCACCAAGACCCTACACCCTACACCCTAAACCCCTAAACCCTATAAACCCTTAAGACCCTAAACCCCCCAGAACCTTAGGAGGAGAGGAAGCGCGAAGAGGAGGAGGCCTTCAGAAGGAAGCAGCAGGAGGAGCTTCAGCGTGAGCGGACGAGGAGAGCAGAGGAGCAACGTAAAGAGCTCGCGGAGGAGGCGGAGAGGAAGAGGGAGGAAGAGCGTCGGAAGGCAGAGGAGCAAGAGACCGGAAGGAGGGAGGAAGAGCGAAGGAAAGCCGAAGAGGAGACCAGGAGGAGAGAGGAGGAGCAGCGCAAGAAACACGAGGAGGAGAGCAGGAGGAGGGAGGAGGAACGCAGGCAAGCCGAAGAGGAGACCCGACGGAGGGAGGAGGAACGGAAGAAGGCCGAAGAGGAGACCAAACAGAGAGAAGAAGAGGAGCGAAGGAAGGCCGAGGAGGAGACAAAGAAAAGAGAAGAGAAGGAGGAGGCAGAGCGCCGGAAGGCTGAAGAAGAGCTCCTGCAGAAGAGGGAGGAGGCCATGCGAGTCGTACATTCCCAGGTTCAGCAGGCCGTGACATCCGAGGAACCGGAGGAGCTCCGAAACCAGGAGGCAAGGCAGATGGAAGCCCAAGTCCAAGAGCTGCAGCCTGACAGGCCGAAGCAGCCCGATATGGAAGGACTAGAGCCCGAAGTGCCCAGAAGCACCCAGGAGAGCCCAGCAAAGGACTCTGACTTTGCCAGCTCTTTGACAGCCGCAGGCCGTAGACCGCGGCGCTTCTCCGGGGCCTGGATTCAGACGGAGCTGGACGCCGCAGCTGGGCACCCGGAAGACAAGGGAGAGAAGGCAGCGCAGGCATCTCCGTCGCCAGAGGAGAGCCGATGCCATCAGACGGGGCCTTCGGGGCAGACGGAGCTTCGTTCGCGAGGTCCGTGCGCTGCCAACGTTTGGTCTTCGCCGAAGTCGCAATGGGACGAGCAGAGGACCGGCTTAGGGTCCATGGATCATAGGTCGTAGGGATTAGGGTTTAGGGTGTAGTCCACCGTCGACATCATGGTCACGAGGACCATGTTCACTTGTGCCGCCTTCTTTTGAGCAGAGGACTTCGTCCACGACTGCAGGGGACCGGAGCTATCGAACCGGCTGGTCGTCCAGATGGGAGCATGCCGACACGGCCAGCGATGCATGTATCAATAGACAGGGACTTTCGGTGGTTGCGATATGGGTTAGCTGGTGCGGAGGTCGGGACGAATTCTAGCATCAGACATGAACCTCTCCGACAGGCACGGTTGGGTTGCATCCTTGGTATAGGTAGCGACTATGAGTTTTCGCCTGACTCTGACCATTTCATTACGGATGGTGCTCGAAGACCTTACATGCCAATGCCTCTCATGACGGTTAAGCCCTGCTACATTGACGATGACCTCGGTCCTACTGGTGCACGACGCTTGCGACACATTCGTTCAATGCGCAGGCGTAGTATAGCGGTTTGCGCCGGCCGTGCGAGGTTCCAGTATGGAAAAGCAATACTACCTGTAGTCTCCATTGTAGCTCCTTTTTTGGTTAGCCAGTTTTATGGTCAGGATCCTATAATACAAATTTGGCTAACCAAAAAGGAACTACAATGGAGACTATAGGTATGTCATGTGTTACTGCATTGTATTTCCGGTTCTGGTTCTGCCTAGCAGTCCAGAGCCACTCATTGCACCGCCTGAAGCAATCTCCGCACCCCCCTGCCATACCTACAGTCTCCATGGTAGATCTTGTATTTGCTTTAACCAATTCTATATTCAGGATTCTATAAGGTAACCTTAAAAAGGAACTACAGTGGAGCCTATAGGTAAAGTCAGCCTAGGGGCCTCGAGTGATTGTCAGCGAGATTGCAAGGAATGGCAGGATCGGGGCGATTGGCGTGGGGCTTGGTGGCACCGCGACTGGCATCTTCAGCGCGATGAGGAGGAGGCTGGTGGGTTCTTCAGTATGACTTTGAAGGAGTTTGGGGTGTTGTTTGAACGATAAGTTTTTGAGTGGTGTGTATGCTGTTTTGTGTTTTGAAGAGTGGGTTTGCTGCCACTCGAGATTTAGGGAGGCGCTTAGACTCTGCTGAAAGTTTTTGATGTGTGGGTTTCCGACAGGTCCTGGAAAGAATTTGAGGCGTTTGACTTTAATTAGGCAGTTTTAGGCGCTTAAACTGCGGGCTAGAAGCTTAGGGTGCATGGTTTGTAGTCTTACACCCTAAACCCCAAACCCTGAACCGACAGTTTCGAGCGATGCGAAGGACTTCCGGCCGTTTGAGGTGCGGAGTCATGGACGAGAGAGTAGCCTGGCATGCAGAAAGTCTCCGTTTCGTCGTGGTTTTGGGGCTGTTCTTCTTCTTCGATCCTTCACATACCTGATCTCTGATAGCGGCAGCCACAAGCCCCATCAAGCGAAATTACCAAGAACCAAAGCCGTTGCACGCCGAAAGCTGGGGCTCATATATAGAATCCTATAAGGTAACCCCAAAAAGGAACTACTATGGGGCCTTTGGGTAACCTCACCTTTGTGCGTGAGGATGGGGAAGCCT